ACACACACACACACACACACACACACACACACACACACACACACACACACACAAAACAATGTTTTTTAGATGAAAAAGTTAAGCAGGAAGAGCACATCTACACTGAAGAATGCTAAGCAGCTCCATAGGGAAAAAAATGTTAGGATGGCCCTGTAATAAGGGTAAGACATTTTAAAACATTAACATAAGATTTAAAAAAAGAAACAGAAGAGAAGAAAAATACCCAAGAAGGATAGAAGAAGCAATTTTTCAGAAGAAACCGAGTAATTGGCAAGGAGTTTCCAGGAAGCTAGTTCAGGTGGATGGGGAAAGACACCTGGTAAGGAGAGGGAGCAGAAGGCAGGTCACAGAGAAGCCACTGAGGGACTACGAGAGCCCAGGAAGTACATGGTGAGACACTTCCTTCTCATACAGTGACAAAGAAAACCAATCATTAACTGTATCTTACTTTGGTCCAGCTGACATCACCGGACAACTCTCCTCTGTACAGAAGTCTGTGATGGTTCCATAAAGCATATTGATTTGATTGAAAAAATCCACAGCTGCAAAGCAAATGTCTGTTATAAGTAAAATAAAACAGTAAAGAAGTAACTTTCACTCTATTTAAGCAGAATCCCAGGTTCTGGTTTTCCCTACAAAAGCAGATGAAAAGCTCACACCAAAGCCCCAATTGCTGAGTATACTAAAATTAGGAGCTTGTATAAGACAGCAGGAAGACAAGAGTGTGAAAAATTATTGGCAACTCACATAAAAAATGTATATATAAGATATACAAAAGACTATATAAGAGGAAGAAAAGACAACACATCAGGAAATGTAAATTTAAAATGCCCCCTCACAAAAAAAAGTTTCTAGATAATCATAAAATCCTATACAAAAATGTTGGTAATAATGAAATCACAAATTTAAATGATAATGGGTTGCCATTCCAAATCCACTCTCCGAAAACACTGACTTCACAATGGAAACAGCCAGGAACACACAACCCACTGTAAACTGTGTGTGCATGTGGAGGCCGGAGGAGGACACTGCTGGCTTTTCCAGTACCACAGACACTCAGTTCTAGCAATTCAAACAGAGAAAATACAGACAGATAGTAATTACCTGCTTCTATACTTAGTATCTTGTGTTCTACAACACATGGTTCTACACAGCCATTCATAATCTTTCTTAATTAGTATATGCAGGCTGGTAAAATGACCCAGTGGGTAAGAGTGCTTGCCACTAAGCCTGACAACCTGAGTTCAATCCCCAGGACCCATATGGTAGAGAGAAAAAACTGTCCTGTGGTATGTGTACCCACACACATTAACACATACATGCAAAAAACAAATAAATAAATGTGAAAAATTCAAATAACTACATAAATGAACAAACGAGCTCTCAGAAGTACAAAAGCACAAATAGAGTCAAAGGAAAGGAGAAGAGAGAAGAGGGGACAGGAGAGGAAGGGACAGAGGGGCAGGGCAGGACAGTAGCACACACCTTCAGTCCCAGCAACTGAGAGGCAGGTGAATCTCTCTAAATTGAAGAGCAGCCTAATCTACACAGTGAGTTCTAGGCCAGCCAGGGCTACACAGTAAGACCCTGTACTAATGTACACACACACTGGAAATTTATTCTGATTATCTGTGAGGTGTCACAAAAATCATCTTATAGATAAGATGGCTCTCATTAATAAAGTGGAAAAATAAACCATTTTATTTCTAATAACAAAACTGTCTTAGTCCAGAAATATAATCACATTATAATTAATCACATAATTAAAAAATAAAGTGACAGTAAACTTCTATTGACATTTCATAAAATTTCATACTCAGAAAAAATAACATGAAGACTAACGTTGGATTATGACATTACTATATTGTGATATTAGGCTATTTATCATCACCATATTGTGACTATTAGGCTAGATCCTAGAGTAGACACCTCAACATTCACCTGCAACGAGACGGTCACTGACCCAATCCAGAGTCAGCTGGGAAACAGAAAGGCACTTACTGTTAACTGCAACCCACTCGTTCAGATCCTCTCCCTCAGGAAGCATGACGGCCATCCGCAGGTTGCCACTGCCAAGTGTGGCTTCTGCATGTTTTAAGAGCTCATACTGGTGAGAACCCTCTGGGATGTTCTTCTTTGGTTTAAAAGTTTTCGAAGAGCGACTACCACTATGAATAGAAAGAAAGGGAGGGGGGATTATTCATTATTTAAATAAATACTGCCAACAGAATCTACAATTTATTACTGGGTAAAAATCAGTCATATTAAATATCCAAAAATTAATAAAAATTATACTTTCAGCCCCCAAACTTAAACTGTACTAGCTATATTAATCCTAGAAATAATGTAGTTATTATAATGACTGTGTTATCTACCCAAAATATATTCAAACAAATTCTCTATATTCTCTAGTTTAACTCAGGAGGAGAAAAGAACTTTCAGCTGTAACTAATCCAGTTCCCCACAGTAAACTAACCACTCTGAATAACAAACTATAAGCTACATTAAAAAAAAAGTACTTCCATAGTAAGTATTAGTAATTCTATTTCTTATTCAACCTTATTTGTCATTTTAATACACAATTTTATATCAGTAAAATACAAAAGTCCAAAAGCAAAGGGAAAAGCTAAAGAAGCTAAATGTTGTTCTATCCAATTATAGGAAGCATTTGCAATCAATCTTAATACAGCATTTTGGTTAAACAGGCAGTTAACATGACTGATAACTCAAATTTCAGAATGTATGCATATATACATGTAGTGCAGTGTTATGTAACATACACATACATACAGTCAGCCCTCCACATGAGTGAGTCTTCATATTGACTCAATCAAACAAGAACTGAAAATACTTGGGGAAAATTATATCTTTACAGAATATATACAAACTGTTTCCCTGTCATTCTCTAAACACAGTATAATAGCACTTAGATATGGTGATACTTTATTTGTGCTGAAATGTGATTTTATTTGTATATTAATAAATAAAGTTCCCTGGGGGTCATAGCTAACAGCAAGCCATTTAGCAGAAGTCTGGCAGTGGTAGCACATGCCCTTAATCCTATCACATGGCAGGCAGAGTCTGTGTGTTCAAGGACCTAGTCAGCTTGGTGACATATACCTTTAATCCAAGTACCAATCATAGAGACCTAGAGGTCTGTATAGACAGGCAATGATGAGAAAGTCATGTGATTGGGTTTAGAACCAATGAGAAGGCAGAACAGAAAGTCAATAAAAATACAACACACAGAAAGTAGGTCTCTTTCTCAGGAGAAGGATGGCAGCGTCTGGTAAGCTAAAGGTTATTTGCTAATGCTCTGACCTCTTGGGCTTTTAACTCTTTATTTGGCTTTGTGTTTCTTATTTAATAAGACTATTTAGAATTACATCTACACTTAAGACTGTGTAAGTAAACTAGATATGAGCTTAAAAGTACATAATAGGATGGATGTGGTATATGCAAGAATCATACCATTCTATAAGACACTTAAGCACATACATATTATCTTTACAGGATCCTGGACCCAATTCTCCCTGGATATAGCAGAACAAATAAGAGTGAGTGAGTGAGTAAGAGAGAGAGAATGAATGTGTTGGTCAACTAAAACTAGGTTTAGAAAGAGTTTTAAAAAATTAAGAACAAAGCTGGGGGCTGGAGAGATGGCTCAAGGTTAAAAGCTCTGCTTCTTCTTCCAAAGGTCCTGAGTTCAAGTCCCAACAACCACATGGTGACTCACAACCATCTGTAATGAGATCTGGTGCCCTCTTGTGGCCTGCAGGGATATGTGCAGACAAAACACTACACATAAATTAAATCTTAAAAAAAAAAAAAAAAAAAAAAAACAGAGCTGGGTGGCCATGGTGCACTCCTTTAATCCTGGCACTTGGGAGGCAGAGGCAGGCGGAAGTCTGTGAGTTCGAGATCCAGGACAGACACCAAATCTACACAGAGAAACCCTGTCTCGAAAAACAAAAAGATTAAGAACAGGATGAAGAGATACACAAATTTAGCTCTCAGGAGGCAGAGGCAAGTAGATCTCTCTGTGAGTTTGAGGCTAGCCTGGTCTACCTAGTTAGTTCCAAACAGCCAGGACTACACAGAGAAACCCTGTCTCAAAAACAAACACCCAAACCCCCCACCACCACCTGTGGCAGTGGCAGGTGGGAGAGCTATCCCTACCCATCACCAGCTGCAGAACTCAGCAGAGCAGGCCCTGCACTTGCATGGGCAGCACACTAGAGCTGACACTGTTGGTGGGGGTGCAGGTGAGCCGGCTCTGAGGGTGTGAGTCTAAGAGAGTGACCCACTAAGCAACTCCCCTCACCATCTACAGCAGACAGAGAACTGACCCTCCCCCTTACCAGCTACGGGACTCAGGAAAGCAGGCCCCTGCACCTAATCTGCGCAGCACAGTAGAGCTGGCCCCACCATTCATCTGCCATATGGTGGCATGGATGGGCAAGGGAGTGATGTGCGCCCCCCACACAGCCCCTAGCAGTTGGGAGAGCTGGCCCTGAAGTCGGAAGAGCTGGAGAGCTGAACTCACCCCTTACCAGCTGCGCCTTGCCTGGGCAACACAGTAGAGCTGGCCCTGGTGGTTTAGGTGTGGGCAAGCCAGCCCAGAAGGCATGAGGCAGGAGAACTGGTCCTGCCCCTTGCTCCTAACTGCATAGGGTGAACTAGCCAGGGCAAGGCTGGAGAGTTCACCCTGGTGGCAAGGATGGGGGAGAGATAGTAGGCTGACCAGCCCTGAAACTACCCAGGTTTGAGTTGGCCCATCCCAACATTCACCCCATCTATGATCTGCTGGAGCATGTAAGGGGGCTGGTTTACAGACCCAAAGCTACAAGACCTCCACAACACAGAGCAACAGCAGGATATCCAAGAAGAGTCCCAGCGAGGGCCCAGTATCGATGGTGTAGCAGAATCCAGATCCTTGAACCAGACCAATGACTCTTCACAATGAACACTTGCAAATAAAGATATATGGACTAAAGGGTATACTGTATAACTCACTGTGTCACATGACAGCTTCCATGATGAGAGATTTTTTTTCCTCATTTTTTTTTCTTAAATTTTATTTTATTGGGGGGGGGGTTGTAAGGGCAGAGGGCAGATATGAAGGTACGGGGAGATGAATGTGATCAAGATGCATGATGTGAAAGACACAAAAAATAAAGAAACTTAAAAATAGATATTTGAAGTATGAAGATGAAAACAGAATCCTGAAGAGAACACACAATGGTGAAACATTACAGCTCCATAGCTTTGCATTCTTCAACCCTGTGTCTGAAGTTTGAACTCCACATCCCTTCCCTCTCTCCCCCAGACACAGCTGGTGTGCTCAACCCCAGTTGTCATTATCACCGCGGGACACTGAAGTGAGTGAAAAGTCTACCGATGAGCCCAGATGTCCCACTCCAATGGTCGTGTCACTCCACTGACATTCTCCTTTCGATGCTGTCTGTTCTTGAGTGCTTAATTAAAGTGAAACTGGTATTTCTCAACCCTGAATACTTTCTCTTCCCATGTCTTTAGTCAACAACCAAGGGATCTCTTTAAAAACATGAATAAGTAGACACCACTCCTCCCCTGAGAACCACCCAGTGGCTTCCCAGTGCTCTCAGAATAAATCCAAAGTAAAACACTGTTTAAGGTCAAGCTGTAGAACACACTAGAGTATACAGACTTTTCTTCAGCACTAAACACCAAATTCTCTCTAAACAGATCTAAAACATTTACAGAAATATAATTATACCTTTCCAAACTCAATGCATATTTCTTTTCTTCCTTTTCACCTCTCATCATTGTTTTTCTCAGGGCTTCCGATAAAACCGAGGAAAGTATTGAACCGCTAAGCTACATCCCTGGGCCTTCTCATCAAAACAGTGCGAGAAATATACTCTACCAGTATATTTTACAAAAGGGTATCTTCCTAATCTATGTGTTGATTATATAGCTGTCCTCAGACTGCTTTGGTTCAAGACTTGAGGCAGCTTGTTACATATGCTCAGTTAAGCCACCACTTGGCTCAGATCACTGCAAGTTAGAACGAACAGGCAGTTCTGAGAAGAGCTGCAACACACACATTTGTGACATACACCTGCACAGAACTGTCTGGGTCTCACCTGCACCCCAAAGCCATCTGCCAATCAAACCTCTCTTCCCTGAGGAGGTACTTTCTGGATCAGAGTCTCTTCTAAGATTTGATCTTCAACAAACTAAAATCTACCATATAAAATCTTATACTTTGTTAGAAAAAAGGATCTGGATTTGATGTTGTAGAATTATCAGCTTTCACTTGTATTAGTTATTGTGGTTTTGTTTCTAGTTTGATTTTTTTGAAACATGATGTCATTCTAGTTTAGACCTGCCTCAAATTCACCACAGCTTCAACTTTCAAGAGCCCTAGGTTTACTATTTAGTAGCTCACCACTCCCAATTGATTAGTCTTTTTCCTTAGGCAAGTTCTCCAGCGCCTGTTTGTTGTTGCTTCCCAATTATAAACACCTAATAAAAACAAAGCATCTCCAATCTGTGTCACAGAAGAGCATAAAAACTGTAGGTGAAAAAAGCTTTTAAACTGGAAAATTCTATGCAGTCGTTAGCGGCTTCATTGTCTTTCCTCTTCATGAACCAGAATAACTGAGTAAAGACAGACATGGTGGTACAAAGCCCAAAGCTAGAGTCAACCCCAGTCCCATGCTCACATCCCAAGGCTACATGGGGAATACAAGTGTAGTGTGGAAACAACTGTTTGGATGCCTAAGGTTCAAAGACAGCTGAGTATGATGTACTGCTGTCCGTGTGTGCTCTCCTCCCTTGTTCCAAGCACAGTTAAGGTACTCTCAGAACAACAAGTTCCTATTTCCTCAGCTGCCAGTTTCTTCCTCCTCTGTCCCTTAAGAAACCACAATTAGGGGTTTGAGAGATGGCTCAGCAGTTAAAAGCACTGGCTGCTCTTGCAGAAGACCCAGGTTCAACTCCCATCACTCACACCTAGGTCTGTAACTCCAGTTCCAAGGAATCTGATGCCCTCTTCTGGCCTCTACAGGCATCAGGCACATAAGTGGTGAGTGAGTTGCTTTTAGATTTGGGGTTTTTGTTTCATTTTGGTTTGGTTTTTTGAGACAGGGTTTCTCTGTGTAGCTCTGACTGTCCTAGAACT